TCTTTTAATAATTATATTGGAAATGGACATGTAAATATGTAATTTTTAATCTATAAGGAGATCTTTGTTAACTTGAATTGTTACACGATTGTAATATTTACATATAATTTTTAGAAAATAATGCAATTTAATCCACGAAATATAATAATACTGCTGTCTGCAGTATTTACTGCCGTGGACTTCCCCGAAACTTCTATAACAACACAAGAAGTTACGATGAAGAAAAAAAAGGAAAAGATATTAATTGAAATATACGAAGACTACTATGAAATCGAAGAAGAAGAATTGCTGAGTTTTTTTTAAACTTATATGGTATAATGTACCAGAAGCACAAGAAATAGAACTCGTAAATGTGTGAAGAAGAAAATTACGCATGCAATGTAAAAGAAATGGTTTGTGACATCGACGATATTTCAGCAGAATATAAAAGAGAAGCAGTTGAATATTGGAGAAGTGGTAAGTCAAAGCCAAGAACAATTGAATCTGTAAAATCAAGATTTCGGAAAGTAACGTCAGCAAGACAATTACGACGATGGGAAAAGCAAATGAATGTAGGTGGTAATAGACTTGAAAAGTTGGAATGAATTTCAGCAATCACGTTAGATAAATTCATTGAAGCGATGCGTAAAGGGACATTGATCCATGATATTGATATTACACGATGGGCTTTGCAAGCGCAACAACAAGTAAACTTATTAGGTTTTAAAGCATCACACGAATGGGTTAGAAGATTTAAGCTCGCGCATCAAATTGTATCTAGAAAAATTACGAAATTCATAACTAAAAAAGCTTTAATGTCAAAGGAGGCTTTACAAGCAGACAGCAATAGGTTTATTGAAAACGTCAAATATTATATTGATCGTTATGGAATTGAAAATTTGTATAATTCGGACCAAAGTGATTTTCAATTAGAATTACATGCTGGTCGTACATTGGCACAGAAAGGTGTAAAAAAAGTAGTCTGTAGCACAATCAATATCTGCAATTACTTACAGTTATACAATACAACCTGTTATTTCAGCCAATGGTAGATTATTATCTTCACTTCTTATAGTGTTAAAAGAACCTAGTGGGACATTAGGTCCTAGGGTACAAGAAACGATGTTTACTGCAAATAATATTTTTATTATGTCGTCAAAATCTGGTAAACTAACATCTAATCATTTTGAAACTTGGGTAAGGGAAGTATCATATTTTCTAAATGTTGGACCAAATTCAGTTTTATTGTTAGATTCATGGACTGGTCATTATCCGGATATAATTCAAAGAAATAGACTAGATTCTGCACAAGATATTGTTCTATTAACTATACCGGCTGGAACAACAGGAAAAATACAATCGTTGGATGTTTTTGGATTCCGTTTATGGAAGAATTTCATCAAACATTTTTCAGATGTAGTCATGCTTTTAGATCTTGATGTAAAGCTTCATTCTAGAAACGCTATTTTAAAATTACAGTCATTAACGCACAATCAATTTTCATCGCCAAGATTTATTAATTTGTTTAAATACGGTTATTGGTACAAAAGTGGATATTTGGAACATAGACCAGTAGAATTTGTTACACCAGTCGATTTTTGTTTTAAAAAACATTCGAAACCAACATGCGATATTTGTGGTGAAATAGCTATAATTACTTACGCATGGTGCAAAAAGTCTCTCTGTATAACGCATTTTTTTCATAATCATCATATTTGTAATCAGTTTGAACCATAAATATTGCAATGAGAGGGGGATTGTAAAAAACATTGTAAAAAGCATTTATATTGAGTTAATTTTGTATCTTTGTTATTTTATTATAAATCATATTTATAAAACATATTTTTTTAAAGAATACTGGTAAGGATTTTGGCAGTTTTCCTTACCCTTGCAACAAATGTTGGTATTCTTACGATTCTGCAAAATAAAATGTTTTTCTGACGTGCACAAATAATGGTTACAAATTTCCTCCTATCTACCTCAATCCTTGATAATTTTATTGGTCTGATTTTCGTAACATTTCAGTCGATTTCATCGATTAACAAATTCTGGTATTCGAAAAAATTCTATTGCACCTCGACTTCGACAATGACTTCCAGAATGTACTCGTAAATTATTATCAGCATTCAACGATAAATTGTTTTCTTCACTATTAGCTGGACGTCTCTGACACTGATTGTAAAATAGGATACGCAAGGTTACACGGGTTATTATAATGCTTTTATAAATTAATAAATAGAAAGGAAAGTGTATGCAAAACATATATTATTGATAAATGCAATACAAATTAT